TTATATATATATATATATATATATACGTATAAAAATATATTTTTCTATAAAATGAATTAACGTATGAAGGAAAAAAATTCATTCGTAATTGTGATAAAATGAAATTATCTTTTATGAGAATAATTTGTGGAAAAATTATTGCAAAATACTATGGTAATGTAAGATTAACCAATCAAATTCGTTTATTACGAATGTTTTAAATAAGAAAAATGAATAGATTCGATATTCAAAGAGATGATTAAAATAGTTTAGCATTAAAAATGCTCGATTTCATTGGTGCGAATAAAAGAATTGTTAAATTTAAAATGAGCTAAAGTGAGCTAATGTGAACTAGGCGGCTAGGTGAAAAAAAAAATATGATAGTTAAAAGTGACATTATACTTGTCAAAATGTGATGTTTTAAATTATCTTATATAAAATAATGAAACTTTGATAATAAATTCAAAATTAAATGTCTTAGATTTATAATTCACTGCACAGTGTATTAGACCATGTGTAATTGTCAACATCATAGTGGAAGAGGATGCCCGGAATCTGAATCTGATCCGTACGTAACCTAAACGTAACTACTCATTAAACGTAAATACGTAGATACCCGTTATAAATACGATATGTAATATATAAATCAGACGAATTGAAATTAAAATTCACTATTCAATTTTTAAATACGCGATATATATCTCGCGTTCGTTCCACGGGATATATATTTTAATTATTTTCCTCGAAAAATAAAATTGAAGACGCTTGAAATAAAATAATAATACTTCTCCACCCGTCCGTATAATTCAGAATAATAATAATAATAATAATAATAATAATGGGAAAAATAAAAAAGAAAAAATAATTAAGAAAAAAAATGAGAAAAATAAAATAAACGGATGAAATGAAAATAAATATCAATCAACACCGTTTGAATGCAATTGTATGGAAAATTAATTACGTTGAATTAGATTAGAGAAAGATTGGATTTATGATAAGCGAATAAATAAATAAATAAATAAATAAATAAAAAGATATTTATTTAATTTTCGATGTGATTCATACATGGACGAAGATCATCGATCTTGCAAGAATCATGGCAACCACATGACGAAAGCATTCAATCCTCTGGTGAATTCTGCTCGCCTCATTGTTTCCACACGCCAAACTACCCCCAACTATCTCCAAGAACCCCTCCAAGATCACCTCTAAGAACACCGCCCAGAACACCCTTGTCGGAATTAACACGCGAAATTCCACCAAGCGCGCCACTCAGAATTCTGAGAGAGCGGCCCGATCTATCAACGGGAGTAGCTATAGCGGCTCATCGTTTGGATTGTAAGCTCATCGATTCATTTTTCACTCTAACATCGATAATAAGGGATGATTACTATTTACTTTCGTAGTCGAGACGATAAGCAGATACGAAGAAATGGAGGACACGGATGAATCGGATATATCTGGCAAGTTTTAAAACATCTCTTCTCTTCTCTTCTCTTCTCTTCTCTTTATATACGAATTATCGCGAGAATCATTTACACCGATATCAATTTCTCCCAACTAGGAGAATTATTAGCGCAAGCGTTTGCGGCTTACCGAGCAACTCCGAGGTTCCCCCCTACCTCCACCCCCTTACGCCCTCCGTCGCCGCCGCTCGCACCTCTCGAAAGAACTTATAGATTGCACCGCACGAGATCACCGCGATTCCCAATGGTACCCAGAGCGCAAATACCACCTCGAATGACTAGAATGACGCCTTGTGGCAAATGTTTAAGGGTAATCGTGTTTAAATTCGAATCGATTTCCGTACAAAAAAAAAAAAAGAAAAAAGAGAAAAGCTAATACCCCCGTTCTCGTCATTTTCAGATGTGAGAGCACAACGATGATGAGGTGGAATTTCCAGCAAAACCAAATTTTAATTATACCATCGAACATGAACATTTATAACACATATATAAATCGCATTAATTCTATAATTTCTAACACTAACGTCGAAGAGGACTTTTTATACTCATAAATCAAATTTTTGCAGCTTTCACTTTTCGATATAAAATATCTAAATGAAATAAATCGTAGAGTATATAAAGAGAAAAAAAAACAAAAAAAAAACCAAAAAAAAAATAAAAATTACTCCATGATAAAGATAATGATTTGATTCGTAAATGTTCGTAATCGTCCGAACGCTAAACATAATATATTTAATGAAAAATGTGTTTTTTCAACAACGAAGTGATTGATGTGTAAAAATATACTGCAAATATTCTTGTACATTGTTGCTTCTCACTTATCAAGATTCGATATCCTCGATATCGGGGAATATTGTCAAAATTGATATTTAAAATTTGGTTCAATGTTTTAAAACGAAACGCGGTAAAAAAAAACATTTTTTTTTTTCTATCCGTAGACTTACCGTTTACCACACAGCTGATATGTATTTTATATATGTTATTTTTTTTTTTTTTTACGAAATAGTGATTGCAACACGTGCGATACTGAAAAAATGAAAAGCGAAGGCGAGGAAGAGGGAATTTACGTAATTAAACGATCCATCCGGGTGGTCCGAAGCGTGGAGAGACACGTTTCTCTTCATTTTGCCAATCCTCCCGAGGATGGAGAAAACAAGGAAAGGCAAAGAGAATTTGGAGAAGGACACGCAGCAACGTCTGTTGGGTCCATGGGTCGAATTAACCGCACCGGAAGTATCAAGCGACACGCACACGTCCGTATTATGCATATGAGAGAACGTAAAACATCTTTTACCACCCACAATCGCTTCCTAAAACGTTTCTTCTCCATCTCTGTGCCAACACCGGCGCGATATTTCGTTTCTCGTACGATGGACGTCAAAATATTTGAATATTTCGCCTCGTCCGATCTCGTATCTCCGATCGTCGCGAGATCTTTTGAAAAAAAAAAAAAAACCATTCGTTTTACACTCGATCTCAACTCAAAAAGGTTAACGTAGTAAAAAAAAAAAAAAAAAAAAGAAAAAAGAGAGAGAGAATAATTTTGGCCAAGAAAATACTACAATTTTCCAAATTTTTAATACAACTAACCACTAAAGCTTTCATCGAGTAAATACGTTGTAATTGGATATAACGAGTTAAAAAGATGTTTGAATAAAAATTACATAATACACGTTTCCTTTTTTCTTCTTCTTCTTCTTCTTCTTCTTCTCTTCGATTCTAATTTCACCTTTCCAACCAAAATTGTTTAATAGGGGAAAGTTCGATCACGATTTATCGAAAGTCCGATCTTTTTCCATACGCGGTATTTCTCCGTATCCGTAGAATATACGAGCATTGTCTCGCAATACAAGGCAGAGAACACGTGTGTTCGATGTCTCGACAAATAAAGACGTCGTTGCCGAAGCGTCAACACCCACGCGTATTGTCGTACGACGCGTGTGCGCATTGTAGCGGACTTGTCTCGAATCCTCGCGGAACACGATTCGAACGCGTTTAAGGAACCCGAGTCCGCGTATGTATTGTCAACATGGCAGTGAATACCGTGCAACTTGATATTTGTTAGGTGTATCTCGTTACAATAACGATATCAATCTTTGATTTAAATTCTACTAATCTACAGATAAATTAAACCTCGACTTGGCCAATTTTAAATAGAATTGAACGAACGAACGATATTTGCTCTTGTTGCTTTCGTTTCAAGTAATTAAAAAATAATTATATTACAAAGTTGTTTACAACTTATTCCAACTTGAAGTCCCTGTTCGTAAATATATATATATATATATATATATATATTATACAATTTATTATATTTCATTACGATTGGCTCTTGTTTGATCGCGACGCAAATTTAAATAAAGCAACTTACGCGGATACAACAATTAAAGTAGAAAATGGACAGATCTCGATTGAAGGAACGAGGAAGAAAAAAAAAATTAAATTTGGCCGAGAGGCGACCCCACGTGGGTTATTCACATTCTTCTTAGCTATTAACGGACGATGAGAATCACCATTTTATCCTCGAATTATACAAATTGAGTCGGACGCTTTGCACGGTTCGAACAAACGATCGAAAAAAGTTGAAAAACTCCATAGTTCCGGAGTTTCGTTCTCTGACCTACTGCGAGAGAAGGAATTCGAGGACGAAGTCGTGGCGATAGCTTACTACGACGTTACGGTTAGTTACACGATTTCAAGTTTTCTTTTTTTTTTTTTTTTTTTTTTTTTTTACATATAAATATGTTTCAAAATTTGTGCGAAATTTCTTCTCGACATCATCCTTTAAAAAAACGATTAATAATCCTTGCAATTTTATTAAATTTATTAAAACGATAATAAAAATCGTATAATTCGTACAAAGAAGCATGGTTAATTTACATAAATAAGTAAGGGAATATGATGTATAACAAGATGTACACTCGAAGAAAAATTTTGAAAACACTTACCTGTTTACTACATCCATGGAGGGAACTTCCCGCCCACGAACCATAATTTTTTCATATTTAACGCCAGAATTTATGAATTCCTGTAACAAAATAATATTGGAAAGTAGTTAATTGTTTTTTCTTGAAACGAAACCAGAGGATTCCAAACACGAACGGTTCCACTAAGGATACCAATTATGTATAATACGCTCTAATTAGGCGAGGGAGACACCGAAAGATCTTCGTGTTAATTACCCATACCCAGCGGCACCATTGATCTTCAAAACCGTATTCTAGTATTTCTAAAATTTCTATTCTCTACCCTTGGAGATCTTAGTTAGTCCTCTTCGCGTAGCAAATTGCTGTCCGTGAAGGGGACGACAAAGAAAAAAAAGGGAAAAAAAGATAAAGAATAATCGAATAAAATCTTCGATTTTATTATTTATAAATCGATCGGTCTTGGATCGTTTCACGAGTTTGACTTAGAAAAACGCGTATACTTTAGCTACATAGACGTCGAAGTTCGAGTTATCGGCAATCAGTTATTTCAAAAATCTAATAATAAATTCGTTAATTCTTCGTCCCTTCATCCCTCCTTTTTTTCTTTTTTTTTTTTTTTTTTCTTACACTATTACAAATTGGACGGACTCGGCTAATTTTAAATGTCAAATAAAGTCTAAACCGACGCAAACGGTTATAATATCGGGCTTTCGTGAAAGAGAGGGGAAACGAAGGAACGAGAGAGAGAAAGAGAGATATGATAGATTAAGAAAGATACGCGAGGACCGTGTAAGGGAGGCACGTTCTCGAATATCTGCTCGATCAAGGAATGCAGTTAGGGATCGTTCGCGAACAAGCAAAAAAAAGATGAGATATCTTTCGACTTTTTCCATTTTTCTTTTTTTTCAAACTTTTACGACAAATAAGCTTATCTTACCTTCTCGTCATAGTAGCGACTCGTGTTTGTCAAATCGATAATACATTTTAAACGTGGAAACGCTTGGAGCAATACCGACGTTGTAAACCTGTAACGAAACGCGAAATCGAATTAGAACGAATTAGAGCACGGGAATTCGCGATGAATTTATCGGTCACTCGTAATAAATGCTCGATTCGTACGGTGGAAAGACGACTTCATTCGGCGTTGGAAAGGAGGGAGGGGAATACAACGAATCTGCCGACTGTCGCGATGTTAGCGAAGAATCTTTTTTTCAAAGGCGCGACCTGGACGACTCGATGATATATTAGGGGAAAAAAGAATCTGGGGTCCGAGGCAAAAGGGCCGGAATTAAACGGGGGTGTCGGCCGAAATAGTTTCACCATTCCTTTCGATATATCAAATTCTCCGAGGGCCCGTACCAGATGTTCCCTCGGGACGATAGAGTACGGACGAGTTTATTTCTCATAAATAGACAACTATCTCGAAAAAAGAAAAAGGAAATGTCGAAAAATCGATTTAAAAGCCATTAAAACGAACACCTCGCGCGCTTCGACAGAGTGACCGTGTAAATTCGAATTTCTCGTAATGTTTATTCGTAAATAACGTTAATTATCGTAAACCAATAATATATAATCGCTAATCTACTTACCGTTTCTCCGGTTCTAAATTGTTACTCACTGCCTGAAACAAAAAAGAAAAGGACAGATTCGATGAATTATCCGTAAAGAAATGAGTGTACGTGACGTAATTAATAGTGACACGGGAATTATATCTTTATACCCGAAGCATATTCGGATATAGCGGCATCGTACGAATCTTCAATAACCCGTTATAATAACCCGTATCTTATATATATATATACATATCTTATCCTACACGATAAGATAAAATACGAGTCACTCCTTCATCTTTTCTAATAACTAATAAAACGCAAAGCCGAAACGAACGAGAGAATATTTACTTACTCGTAACACATCTTTCGCGAGATGCATCAAACATTCTGTTCAACTGATCGATTATCCAACATCTCACGACACGAGAAATCGTCGTACGTGTGATTTAATATATATCTCATTTCGATTGTTCTTATTTCACGCGTACATATAATTGAGTTAATCGATAATATTAAATATATATATATATATATATTTTTCTTTGATCCGATAGGAAATTTTTACGGAAGATTAGAAGGAAAGAGGCGAAGACACGGTACGGCGTTTCACGTAGTTCGGACATCGTATACCTAAGAATACGTAAATTGAAAGTTTGATCGGTCGGCATCGCACTCGCTCGCTATGGGTGGGCTAATGGTAATTACGGGTTTAGACTACGCGATCCGATTGACTGGGCGGAGAGATCGTATCTACGGATGAGTGCGGAATGAGTATCGGTCGCATTAATAACGGGCTTGTGGTATAACTTTCCTATCCAACCATAATAATCTATCGTTGACTCAGGTGTGGGACTTTCTTATATCTTAATGGTAGCGCCGTTCCAATTACTCCGCTCAGCCTCGCTTATCGACACACGATCCTATCGCCAGATTGACAACTGTGCAAATAACTAACTGTAATATTTGTTTACTCGTAAATTGTTCTTAATTCACGCTACGCCAATACTCGTTCTTCTATCCCGAGAGAAAAATTAGAGATCGAGAAATTTGGAATTCGAAGCGGGAAAAAAGAATGAGTATGGCAAAAAAAAAAAAAAAGGGAGAACGAGAGAAAATAGAAAATCGAAGTTGTGGGTTGCTGTAAAATTTACTAACCATGGCTACGTCAACGGTAGTTTATTTTTCGCAGGATCGGTCTTCTCCGCTGATTCCACCATTCAATTTCACGATCCTTAGCCTAATATACGACCGCGACTAAATCAGGATTATCGTACCTCCATTGTCAACCTTCGTGGCGGCCCGCGCGAGCTCGTGTACACAACCGATCTTTTCGCGTCCTCCCACCAACTTTTCCTACTTTTCCTCTAATTTATCTTATATATAAATCGTATTCCATTTTGTCGCAACAATCATTGACAGACGGGAACTAAGCGACTAATTTTCCATAACCAAGGCTAAAGAAAAATCGGAACCGCGTTTCGGATAAATTGAACGAGGTGCGGGACGAGGAGCGTTTTCGAAAAGAAAACGTCGTAACGCGTTACATGGAGGATGCGGTTTCATGGCGAGTAGTAGGCTTATTCAAAATCGGCAATTTCACCAAAAGATTGGCGGAAACGAGTTTAACCACGGAAGATATCGATATAACGTCATCGGTTTATTTATAGGCGAGATATACCGGATAGAAATATCTTCGAACGATATTATAAACGAGCTCGTAAAGAAGCGGAATGTTAACGTTGTATTTACGCGTTACTAGGTTACCATCACTTTTTCTGGATCGTAAAGTTTTCCAAAGTACTCGTCAAGCGTGATTAACGAGTACTTTAGATTTATGCTCGTCCCTCCACGTAAATGTTATTCGTGATTTATTTAACGTTCTTTATTATACGTTAAACAAATCGAATGTAGCAAATTAGGACAAAAAGAAGAAAATAGTAAAATAAAACAAAGATTATTACGATTCATTACGATCGAAGAAAATTTTCAGAACTTTGTATACAGAGAGAATCGATAACAATCGGCCGTATTTGTAAAAGTATGTGGATCGGCGCAAACATTAAATCGGGCCGAACGAGACGACGCTCCGTTGCGCAAAACGGTTCAGACGATTCTCCGTTAAATTCTCTTATGGACAAGGAGGAAACTCGAGAGGAAGGAGGGAGCGCCGCGTGGAGAGAATGGAGAGAAGAGAAGAGAACTCGCAGGGAGAACATTTTCGAGCGCGGCCAACGGTTATACTCGGGTGTATGGAATCATAGAGAAACGCCATATAGACTGGTATATGGCCGCCGCCAACTGATATATGCGCGACGTTATCTGTATCCACTTACTTCCTCGTTTGGCAGAAGATTCGAAGCGATTTAAAATGGGTCATCTTAACTGGAAAGATGCGCGTACAACAAAGGAACGTGTCGGAAGTAGCACTTGCTATCAAATTCTTGAATCATTTCCACCGATTATAACGTCTTTCGTATTCATCGAACGAAACGTTCGAAACGAACGCTTTTAACCGCGGAACAAAGATGGTTCAAAAATGATGGTTAAATGGAATGGATAAAGATCAAAGTTGACGCGTTAATTTTTCGTTCGAATCAAACGTGTACTGCTATTATGATTTTATGGATGATCATGTATACATAATTCTAATAGAATCACTGGAATGGAGGATTGGACATAAATCAAAACGATGTATCGAAACGAAAGCAATGATTTTAATAAAATTTCTATGAAAAGCATAAACATAAACGTGCGCGGTTCGGTTTAGCATAAATCAAAACGGTCCATCGGATAAAAAATGATAGGTGGAATCATTAATCTTTCCTATCGTTTGCACGGTAGGTATATAATTTTTCGGAAATGAAACGACTTTACGAGGGCCTGTTGAAAATTGATTCACCACCCGTGTTGCGTGCCTAATTCTCGAACTTCGTGTTTTTCGCGTATACGTACGGGATCGAACGATCGAATTCGACGTTAAAATATAGCGTATATTTTTTTTCAACGTATATCGACACGTATATTCACATATTTTATAACGTTCGGAAAGTATCGTCGGCAAGATGAAAAAAAAAAAAAAAAAAGGAAGAAAAGTCCGTAGCTCCCTCGAATTCTACGAGCTCGTGGCCGAGCAATAATGGTATCGGTAGCTGTGGGAGATCGTTTAAAAAGGACTTTCCCGTCCGTTCCTTTCGATAGATCCCGCCTGGACGATAAGGCTGACAATTAAAATATACTATGTAGCTTATGTATCTTACGGGAAATCGTTAGAATATGAAAATAAGTCAGTCGACAATGGAGTTTCCAAAAGAATTTTCTTCTTCGGGGGGGGGGAGGGGGGAAGGAAAAAAGAATAATGCCCCGTCGTTTTCTTTTGAAATTTAATATATATCGCGGTCACGTTGAAACGCGCGGGTGTGGTTATTAGATTTCCATCGAATATTTTTTTATATTTTCGATCGTAAAAAAAAGATAACACGAGCGTTTAGGAAATTAATAACTTGTAAATCCCGATACGGTATACTTTCGCTATTCCGTGGGTCTACGAATTAGTATCGACTCGGGGGCGAAGTTTTATAGACTGGCATTAGACATCTCGTGTGTCCCCTCTATCGCCAGGCATCGTGAAAGCTCGCAGCGCAAGAACGTGTTTCTGGTTGGACATAAATAATAGGGCCATGTCGGCAATCGCTATAATTCAATTCACACCTGATAACTGCGACCGTAGAATTTCCATATTACAGGCTGTAATAAAATTAAAAATATTTTCGGGGCGGTCCATACGCTTCGGGGGGTCCCACCGCTCTTCCCCTCTCCCCTCCCTCTCCCCCATCCCGACAAACTAGCCAAGCTTCGCGATCCTTCACGTTCGCCGTCTTACGAATTTCTTCCCCGAATTTGTTTCCGTTTCTCTCTTCTCACCTGCCCTTTCCCCTCCACTACATACTCACGTATACCTATATACCTACGACTACGAATTGGCGATCGACTTAAACGGAACGCTATCGTTTCTCTCCTTCTTTTTTTCCTTTTTCTCGAACGACACATATAAAATATCGAGAACAAAAGGGATAATTCTTTCTGTTCGTCGTCGACGAAGAAAAGAAAATTTTTACGCGCG